TGCTTGAATATCGTTTTGTGTCAGACAAGCAGATTTTCTCCTCACAAACACAGCTACATCCCAATTGTGCTTTCTGAGCACCAGGTTACACAGAACTCATAGACAGCCTGAGGCCCAAAGTCTCCTGTTCACGGGGCAAAGCTTAAATCCTGGGTGAACAGGGCGAAATACCTGCAAACAGAGCTGGCAGCCTACCTGTCAGCAGCTCTCTGTTCAGGTTTGCTCTGTCCACGGACAGGATGTACTGCAAGGCAAGCAAACACTACGTTCAGGAGGCATTGCTGAAGGCTGCTCTGCATGGCCAGATGAGGAACGCCACCCATTCTAAACAGTCCCACCAAAACCAGGGGATCATGAAACACTTTTCCTGTGCACAGCATCCTTCCAAGGAGTGTGAGCCCTGCTGTCCATCACACAGCAGTACAAACACCATCTAAGACATCGCCAGAGTGACAGCGTGAGACTGGTACCTGGTTCTTCTTCCCATATGGAATAGAATACTTCTTCCCTGAAGGTGTGTGTATCCTTCTTGCCCGCATGGGAATGCCTTTGGACACAATCTGAAATGGAAGGGAACATAACCCAGCCCTCTGGCCAAACTGGAGCTGCCAAGGGAAGGGCGCAAATCACCAAGGGCCATTCCCCCTCCTCACACCACACTTCAACCTGGCCTTGAACACTGCCAGGGATGGGGCAGCCACAGCTTCTCTGGGCACCCTGTGAAGGTCAGGGCCTCAGCACCCTCACAGGGAAGAGCTTCTGCCTAAGAGCTCATCTCAGTCTCCCCTGTTCTGGCAGGTCAAAGCCATTCCCCTTGTCCTGTCCCTACAGACCCTTCTCCAAAGCTCTTCTCCAGGTTTCTTGTCAGCCCTCTGCCTTAAGTAGAGCCCAGGGTTGGGTGCTGCCCCCAGGCTGGGCTGCCCAGGTACCTGCTCCTCCATGCCCACAGCTCGCAGGGCTTGGCGTCCTCGATGGGACAGGGCCAAGTTAATGCTTCTGCCACGGGTAAAGCTGGCCACCCGGATATCTACATGGGAAAAGCAGCTGGTTATGGAGACACTGATACTACAGCATCTCCCATAATCCCTATGGCAACAGCAGCAGGGCAGGGGGAGTCCCTGTGCCCCCACGCTGTGTGCACAGAGAGCACATTCAGCTGTTGGGAAGGCAGCTGAGCAGCTTCAAGGGCTGATTCTTCCATGCCACCTCCAGCCTGTAAGAAGCAGCTGCAACCAAGTGCTGCAAAGGGAACATTGCATCTCAACAGCTCCCTATAATGCTGGAGGTCATCATCACTAAGAGCTGCTTCCCCTCTCAGTGAAGGGAGACAAGCAGTGAACACCTGGCAGCTTGTGCCCAGACCCATCTCTGGTCGGATGGAGATGTCTCAACATTGGCCTGTTCCTCCTCTGAATGGCCTCACTAAGTGTTGTCTACCCAGTGCATGCAGCAGATCATGCACTGGATACCCCAAGAGCTTTCAGGGTTGCATCTCAGCAAAGCCATGGGCCAAACACTGGAGCAGGGTGGTAAAATCCATCTGATCCAGGAAGCAGCTAAGAGCAACCAGAAGCTTTTTCAGCGTGTGACACTGGTGGCATGCACAACAACCAGCAAAGAGTTTAACAGGTAAACCATGGTGAGTATCACTTTCCAGTGTCATTCTGACCTTCCATCTCTGCCCAGGCTCAACAGCATTGCACTAATATTCTGCATGCAGAGAACAACTTCCAAAGATGAGGATTTGAATCAATATTTAAGCCAAGAACATGAGAAGGCATCATCTGAGTAGCTTAAGGGTGGGTTTCCTCCACACAAACCAACATATTTCAAACAAATGCTCCTCCCCACCGCAGAAGCTAAAGAGTGAAAAGAATATCCTTCAGGTGCCACACTTGGGTTTCATTTTCTTCCTGCAGTTTCAGTGAGCTCACACCGTTCCTCTTTTGCTTCTCCCAAAGCTGTTATCAGCAAAGGGACAGGAAAACATTGATAAAGCAGTAGTGGTCAGGCTGAACTTACCTTCTCTGGCTTCATAAACATCAACATGGAAACCTCGTCTCGCAAAGAAACAGGCATTTAATGCACCCACCTACAAGAGAAGGATCAGGAATAGCAGATGAAGTGTTTCACTATTAGATACATCACAGATCACTACTGGATCATAAAGGGAAAGCAGCAGGCAGGGGATACAGCTCAGTATATACAGGAAAACCCTTTGATCAAGAGCCTTAAAGGACTTCTTCCAGGGGAGAAGTTCTCTGGCACCCCTGCTGTACCCACAGAGCCTCCAAGACAAGAGTCATCCATCACAACTCATCGCACAAAGTCACACCAAGTTCAGAGCTTGCTCATATACAGTGATGAATTGCAGCAGAGCTAAGCCCTTCATCCAGACACAACAGGACTGGATAGGCAAACTCCCTACTCCTCTATGGACTAGATTTATCTTCCTGGATAGAATTCAGGGTGCTGCAGCATTCCCTTGGGAACACAGCAGGGGAAGCTAGACCTGCGCAAAAGCAAGATGTCACCTTTAAAAGGTCCTCACACTTGTGTCCTGCTTGTTATTTAAATGGATGGTTGTCTTTTTAGGGTTTAGTTTCCACCATTAATCACTGGCAGAACTACAGATTCTTGTGTCATTGCTCCTTACCAGCAGCACGGGGACTGAGAATGTAACAACCAAAAGGTCAAAAGACAGTTAATGCTGCTATGCTGTCCTTTAAAGTAAGACCACTCTGCAAGTAGCAAAGTAGGCAAACCATTCCCAAGCCAAAATGGGCAGGAGGAGGCACTTCCTCTTAGCTTAGTGTTTACCAATAGTCCTCACAGACCATTTCACCTTAGGGACTTGGTTAAAGCCAGAAGCAGATGAGGGGCAGAGGATCTGGCAGGCCAAGAGAGGACTGTGATTTAATCTACTTGGGCACTACCATCCTCTGAGAGAAGGACTCTTGATGGCAGGATTTCCCCCCTCAATTCTGTGATGCATTTGCACGCACCATTCAAGCCAAGTGCCAACCATAGCCATGCGTTGCATCCCTGAGATATCTCAGCAGCAAACCTTTCTCTTGAGTGGAAGAGATGTTCTCCTCTTACAGAGTCCCACAAAGCTGTCTGAATGAGCCTCACTGCCTCCCAACCAACCCCTCCATAAGACCCCATCATCAGACATTCCCCCCCCCGTCCACACAATGCTTTCACAGCTCTGGCTTTGTGCAATCACACAGCAGCTAGATAAGTTTCCTACCAGACCACCACCGACAACAGCGACTCTTTTCCCCCGTGGGTCACTGGTCTCCATCTCTGAGGCACCCCCAGTTGCAGGTTCTTAGTGCTGTGTCCCTGCTCCCTGTCCTGCTGCGCTGAACTCACCAGCAGGGAGAAGAAGGGGAAGGATATGGGCAGTGGAGTCACATCTGAGCTCTTGCACCTATTAAAGTTTAACTTGCAGCACAGAGGCTGTTGGTGGGTCAGCCTGGCCATGGGGACAGGCGTGTGGTTGCTCAGGTGGTGAGATGTGAATGTGGAGTTATTCAGCCACATTGCGAAAGCTTTAAAGCAGTTTTCTCTTGAAAAGTGAAGCAATTCTGCAGTCTTCAAGGGCTTCCTACTGAAACACACACAAAGCACGAGGAGAACCCACATCTGCCGGGCTTCTGCTGGTGCTTTGCTGGGCTGTAAGTGCAGAGGATGATGTGGAATAACTCCTGGAGCCCCAGGGGCACTGCCTGAGGGTGAGGTATGGAACACACTGCTTGACGGGGGCTGACACCATCTGCCAGGATGTCGCACAAGGAAGCTGTGTGTGGCTTGAGCACATCGGGGTGTGATGGTGTGCAGAGGGTCCAGGCCTAACCTGCAGAAGGACTTGGATGAGGCTATGAGGAGACACCTCTCTGTGCACCATTCCACATGCTTGTCCTTGGGAGGGGCTGCTCTGCGGAGCCAACACTGCACGCAGTAAGCTTTTAAAAGGGAGGAGCCAATTACAGCCTACACACAACAGTTAAAACTGCAGCAATGAAAACACACACATTAAATACACTAAGTACTATTCGCTGCTAACTGTGCAATGCACAGCCTGAAACACCAAGTTTGTCTCAAAGGAGCAAGGCCAAATCCATGCACAAGCATAACATCACTCTCCACTGCGCATCTTGGTTCCCAGTGCAGCAAGGGATGGCTGCTCCTGAAGCACACCAGCACCACACCATAGTGCTAACGTGTGGTACCATGCATAGAAAGGACAGTGTCAACAGCAGCCCCAGGCCCAAGCTTAAAAGGGACTGCTGGCCTTTGAGGGGGCGGGAGTCCCCCATGGGGCTGGCTGGGGTTGTTAGAGGCTGCTAATGCCCATGGGCCCTGGCACTGCATCCAGATGAGTCTCCACTGAAGACCTTCCATTGGGTTTCTCTGATCTACACAGCAGTGAATTGATCCACATTATCTGTTTGACTCACACACCCCCCAGCAAAGAAAACAGAGCAGAGGGCAAAGGGCAAGGTAGGTTTGACATAGTAAATAGTTTATTCCTTTGGGGTGATCGTCACATTAGATTCACTCACAGACTGCACCAGGTAAAACCAATGTCAAGATGTTCTGCACTTTACACACAGGAGACGGTGGGAAGACATGGAGAAAGTGCTATTAATGCATGAGTTATCTCTCTGTGTTAAAACACCACCAGACTTCTGAGAGCATGAAAAAAGCATTGCTTGATTCAGACTCTCAGTGAGCCTTCCAAGGAGTCCTAGGTGAAAACAAAAATACCAGGAGAACATGAACTCAGCTTAAAGGCTGTCCTATGAAAAATCAATGAGAAAAGTAAAGAAGGGAGAAGTTGATTTATGTTGCTGAAGCGAAAAACATGCCAACATTCACGAACCACATGAGTAAAGAAGGGAGAAGTTGATTTATGTTGCTGAAGCAAAAGACATGCCAACACTCATGAACCACAAGATTTTATTTTGTGTGCTTAAGTCAAGTCTATACCCTGATTATATGAGGGAAAGAAATGAAACAAATATATGCAATTCTAAGCTGCTTAAGTTAGCTTCCAATAGCTCTTTGGGAAGAAAGCCTTGGCCAGCTTTGTAACTATGAGATTTGGGAAAGATGGGGAATCAGAGCCCTCCTGGGGCTGAAAACGTGGACCGCACTTATTGCACCTCAGTGTTCAAACTCTGCAGGAGCAGATTTCCTTCTGTTCTTCATCACTGAGAATTATTTATCCAAGCAGTGTGTGAAGCCAGTTCACACAGGCAGGGCAGAGTTCTGCTACTTCCTATACCAACAATGCGCAGTCTTACTGACACTAGGCTGTCAATCAGATAGAACTGTTCAAATACAGGTTTACTTCAGCAATGCTATGGTCCAGTTGAGAGGAACATGTTCTGTCAGTATGTGGGCCACCTGCAAAAAGAAAAATGGCTTTACTGTGTTTGGTAATACCCAACAGTGCACCAGTGCATGCTTCCTGCAGCTGCAAAAGCACAGTGTAGATGTATCAGATCTTATAATTCATGGTGGAAGGTAGCTGAAGAACAGGAAGAATGAAGAATCACAGAATTCCAGACTTGCTTGGGTTAGAAGGGATCTTAAAGCTCATCCTGCTCCAATCCCTGCCACAGGCAGGGACACCTTCCACTAGAGCAGGGTGCTCCAAGCCCCTGTGTCCAACCTGGCCTTGAACACTGCCAGGGATGGGGCAGCCACAGCTTCTCTGGGCACCCTGTGCCAGCGCCTCAGCACCCTCACAGGGAAGAGCTTCTGCCTAAGAGCTCATCTCAATTGTCTCTGTTCTGGCAGGTTAAAGCCATTCCTCTTGTCCTGTCCCTACAGGCCCTTATCCAAAGCCCCTCTCCAGGTTTCCTGTAGCCCCTTTAGGCACTGGAGCTGCTCTGAGGTCTCCCCTTAAGGAGCCTTCTCTTCTCCAGGTTGAACCAGCCGAGCTTCAGTCCAGAGCTGCTCAAAAACATCTTCCTTTGCTGATTTCTGCTAACAGCTAATGGTACTATTCTTGATGGAACCAAGAGATCTTTAGTGGTACAGATTACAAACCCATGCAAAAGTGAAATGGTTGAATGTTTATCCCTTATAATCCCATTGGGTAAATAATCTGTTCAGGAATTCAAATCCCATCCGAAGGGGGTTATACAGATACCCCTGTCAGCAGGGCACTTATGCCTGAGGATGCAGCTGCTCCATCCTGTCCTTCACAAAGAGCCATAGCACAGAACTAGAAGCTTTGTTCTCACTCATGTAACAGTGAGTCCCCATGCTTACCCCGAAGGCTCAGCCTTATTTCCAAGTATTTTCCTCATTTTGTACCATTTTTCTTGGTGGTAGGGTTTTTTCCCAGGGATTTCTGATTAGCAAAGGCCTCAGCAGTGTTGTAAGAACGTAAATCCTACTGGATTTACATTAGCCTGAACAGAAAATACATGCAGGCCTTATTTAGCAGGTCCCTGCTGGCTTCACAAGGAGAACCAAATCCCAAATAGCCATGGTAATTGCTGGGTGGGCTGTGGCTCTGTGGCAGGAACACAGATTAGTATCATCTGTAGACCTTGTCTGATCCTCACATTTATTCCGCAGTAAGCAAGGGTTAATTACTCAAGTCGTAATATTAATCACATCAAATCATTATTTAATCTGCCTCAATGCCACTGTTGCATTAAAGACAATATTCAGGGCTGGATTTAGTGAAGAACCACAAAGGACTACATGGTCTACCTTGCTACCCCCATCTGTGCAGGAAGGAAGGTGGTGTGGTTTAAACTGAGAAGTCCTTGGTCAGAGTAAGCACTACTCAGCAACAACTAGAACATCAGTGTGTTATCAGCATTGTTCTCAGACTAAAGCCAAACCACAGCACTGCACCAGCTACTGGGAGAGAATTAACTATCCCAGGCAAAACCAGGACAGAAGGGCTAAAAGTTTACATTACGGTTCCCTGTTTACTTACGTGGGCAGGGCAGGGATCGTGCTGCTGGTCCAGTGATGTGCCATGGATGTGGATGGGAATTGCTCATGGGGCACTGGGAGAATCCCTGCAGCAGGATAGTGGTGGTGGTGCACCACGGATGGCCTGGGCCCGTCTGCTTTCACAGCCAGGGGAGCAGGAACCTGCAGGTCCTCAGCAGAGAGACAAAGGGTGACACGTGAAAGCTGTGCCCCTGTGGGAAGTGTCCCTGGCTGCTGGGCTGGGTTCCCATTTGGCCAGCTCTTGGTAAAGGATGTGTCTGGAGATGAGTCTTGCAGGCTCTAACACAGAAGGTCCAGCAAAACACTTGGTGATTTCAGATTCCACTTGTCCTTTACAGGCATCCGCACTGAGCTCACTGGTCTACACCAGGGAAACACACAGTGACAGGATGGGCTGGGGAGGAAGGTGGGAACCAGAGGGATGCATGCTTTTCCCCTGTCACCTTCCTTTAGACACAGAAAGCTGCAGATGTGTCCACTGTCTCTCTCAGCACCACCATCTGCCCAGACATCTCCCCAGTAGCATGGAGGGACAGGCTATTCAAACCCAGAAACTGCACAGCATAAGGGAAATAGAAAAGGACTTCCATGCGAGGCAATGCTTGGTGCAGCTCTGCCATTCCCACAGCAAGTCCACCCTGCACCACAGCTGATGAGGCCAGCTCTGCTCCTCAGATGGCCTCCTGGGACATCAGTGCCCTGAAATGTGAGAGCTGGCAGCTGCTGTCAGAGGCTTTCTGTCCCAGCAGATGCACAAACCGGTCAGCTCCCTCCAGGCCACGGGATGGGTTATGGAGGAGGATTGTGTTTCCTACCCCTCTGTTAAACTCAGGGCTCAGGGGCGTTTACAAACAGCATGTGGCGAAGATGCAAATGAGCTGGGCAAAGGCTGTAGGACTTTTGGAGTTATTTCTCAGAACCCAACAACCTTAATATCTGAGAAAAAAGAAAACGAATGTGACTTACAGCACAGAGAAATACATAGTTAGCCTGGAAAAAGAAGGGTAGGGAATATACCTAACTTTCTGCGACACTGGGACATCCCCTCCTCCCCAGCAATCATCTGTCCTTGTTTCTCTGGTAATAAATGCCACAGAGATGAGTCTAGAAATACATTTTTCCAAAGCACTTAAGGGTGCTAAGGAGCTAGATCACCTTTTCATAAACAGCTTAGGAATTGGGCACCAAAGGATGTGTTCAAAATCATCTACCTCTTATCAGGCACTGGACATGTTTTGGAAATAAGCCTATAGGGATTCTACACCCCAAAATATCTGTCCTTTCAGAGCTCAGTAGCACACCTATTAAGCGTCTCAAGGAGATCAGCCACTGATTTGTGGGAGCAAGGATGCCCTTCAGACCCCACTGTTGTTACCTGCTGTGCACAATGAAGCAGGGGAGGGCTGGCTCCAGCAGGCTGTGTGAATGGCATTGGTGGCAGAGCCTTCAGCATCATGTTCTGCATGATGATCTGGTGCATCTGAGCATTCTGCATGAGCATCATCTCTACCATATCTGGGAAGAGGTCACCCCAAGGAAAAAAATAAGAACTTTAGCAGCAGCTGACAAGCAGCAAAGGCACCTCGATAAGAAGTGCCTTCCGCTATATATACTAGTCACTGCAACCAAGACATATCAGCTGAAACGGACACACAGAATCAACTAGATTGGAAAAGACCTTTACGATCAACATGAATATTAGCATTCTTTACCCAAGCAGTGCAAAATTCACGTCTGTGAATAAGACTGTTCATACTAGCTTCCCTGTTTCTCCTCCCTTCTACAAGAAAGCTGCTGTTGAGCATCTTCTGTCTGTTAGTTTCCCTGCAAGCCCACTCTACTGGCTATGCTGGAGATGGGCTGAGCACCAGAGCCCTCTTGGTTCCTCCAGCATGGACCAGCTCCTTGCAGTGCTATCCATTGCTTCAGCCCACAGTCACTTAGAGGTTTCCTCAAACTTATATGATATCGCAGTGCCACCTTGAGAGTCCACTGCATGCATGTCAAATCCATTAACTATGGTCTCTGGGTCCCTGCCCATGGCAGAGGATTGGAACTGGATGATCTTAAGGTCCTTTCCAATCCAAACCCTTCTATTATTCTATGACCTGTGCAGTGGGGGGAGAAGGGAGGGGGAATTAAGAAAGAGGGAAAACAAAATCAAGGCAACTGTCCTTTTTTGTGGTCATACCAGAAGTAGTTCACATCTATCAGCTTCAGCAGAGTCATGCATGAATTGGGACTGTTTTCTTTATGAAAATAAACTCTGATTTAAAACTCCAGGCAGAAAGAGGTAAGAAAAATTGCAGTTTTGTGAATGAGGGTTTCTCTGTGGGATGAAGAAACCTTTGGCTGAAGGTTGAGCCAGGGAAATCATCCCAGGGTTTTGTTCATATCTTATTTCCCAGTAGCATCCAGCTATGTTTAGAAACAAACTTTTTATTGGCATTGCACTATATTTGGAACGGTGCTTTTAGCTGTTCTGTCTTGTTTCCAAGCACGGAGCTTAACAAAAGCCTGTATTGTTTGAGGAGATTGAGCAGCGGGTTAAGGGAGGAAAAAAAGAAAGGAATAAAACTAGGTTTTAGAAACCTGACTGGTAGTTTTGGAATCATCCATACACATGAGTTTGACTTTGTTCATATTACTCAGTGCCATGTCTTGAGCTGGTTTGCTTTCCCAAGCTTCCCTGGTAGCTTCATCTGGCTTTGCCATGTTTGTAGTCCCTGTTTCTTGTTTTAGTGATAAGAATTTATCTGAAAGCTTCTCAGAAATGATATCTAATACATACATCCCGGTGCAATTCCCACAGCTCCAGCAGCAGCCTGGTCACAAAACAGCATGTCACTGACTAGCTTGGATGCTGTCCTGTGTCCCTTCCCACTTGCTGTGGCACCTCCCCATCCTCTCCAGCCTGGATAGTGGGAGCCAGGTGGATACTTTACCTTCTTTAATGCTTCCAGAGCGGGGGGCTGCAAAAGGTTGGGCAGGGGGGATCTGTGTGATCAGAGGAGACTGCTGCTGAGGTAGCTGCTGGATGATGGTGGCAGGCTGAGGTGGCATCTGGAAAAGAAAGGAAAAGGAAGAAGTTGCTACTGGATTTGTCTGACTTCCTCATCTCTGGGAAGGAAGAGCAGTGGGTATCGTCTGCCTGGACTTTGGACATTGTCTCCTGTGATATCCCAGCACAAGCTGGGATCTACTTGGCTGGGAAGCAGCTCTATGGAAAGGGACCTGGTGGGCCTGGTGGACACAAGCTCAACATGAGTGAACAGTATTCTGCTGCAGCAAAGCAAGCCACACGGTGCTGGAAAACATCGACAAGGGCATCACCAGCAGAGATAAAGATGTCATTATCCCACTCCACTCAGTGCTTGTCAGGCTACACCTGGAATACTGCGTTCAGTTTAGGTCCCTGCTCTACATGAAAGATATGGACAGGCTAGAGAGGGTCCAGAGAAGGGTCACAAAGGGCTGGGAAGCTCTATGAGGAACAGCTAAGAGAGCTGAGACTGCTCAGCCTGGAGAAAAGAAGGATCAGGTGAGACCTTATCACCATGTTCCAGTATTTAAAGGGTGGCTACAAAGAAGATGGAGACTCCTTTTTTACTAGGAGTCATATGGAAAAAAAACGGGGTGATGGGCACAGGTTACTCCTGGGTTGATTCTGGTTGGACACAAGAGGAAATTTTTTCACAAGGAGCACAAGGAATAATCCCCCCAGGGAAGTGGTGGATTCCCCAACACTGGACATTGTTATGGTTGGGCTAGACAGGGTGCTGGGACATCTAGTTTAGGTCATGCTGTGCCTACCACAGCAGAGTGTGGGCAATTCTCCCACTCTCCTCCTGCTACCTCCTTCTTGTGATAAATCATTCCCACTGTGAATTTTGTGCTTTCTTTGTAGGTTTTGCCTAGGGCAGTAAGGGTCCCACATAACAGCAAGAGGTGTAGCATTCCCTTGAAATTAACTTTTCCATACAGCTCCCAAGCAGCTGTTGTTTCAGACTGGCACAGCACTATAGCAGTGTTTCATAGGAGAGAGGATCCTTACCATCTGCTGGATAATCCTTGGTGGCTCCTCTGGAGCTGGAAAAGGTATCTGGTAGATGTGTGGGGTAGCAGCTCTGTGGTTGTGACAGAGTCCTCCAGCTGGTGCAGGGGGCTGCGAAAGCTCTTCCAGAAAGCGTTGCTCCTGAAAAATCAAGTATCTACCTAAAGAAAACCTGGTCAGAGAAAGGCAGGCAGGATTGTTACACTCTCTGGAATAAATGGGATTAGCCCCTGGAGCCTGCAGCAGAGCACAGCCTTGCTCACTGAATCACTGCTGCAGATACATCCTGTGTCTGATGGGCAGACCACAATTGACCACTGCACAAAGAGCATGACCCCACATGTCTTGAAGCCATACGGTTTTCAGCACAAGCAAAAAGCAATGGGGTAAAAAAGTGAGGAACAACCTGACAAAAGCCTGGAAAAGTGTTTCATTAATGGTAAGTACCCTCCAAAAACTAGAAATCATAGAATCATAGAGCAGTTTGTGTTGGAAGGGACATTAAAGCTCATCGAGTTCCAACCCCCTGCCATGGGCAAGGACACCTTCTGCTAGAGCAGGTTGCTCGAAGCCCCAGCTCAAGAACTAAAGGACAGGAAAAAACTGAATCCACTTCAGCAATGGATGTGCAGATAACTTGACCCTTTCTGTTGTTTCTGCTCTTACCCTTAGCTCCTGCAAGAGATCCTTCCTTCGCTTTAAGGCACTTTGTAGCATATCCTCACATCTGTTTCCTGGAGGATGAAAAGGCCATTATCTTCTCAAAGGATCACAAAGACAGAGCTATTATAGCACTTACATTATGAGATTTTGGACAAAGGTGTTATAAGAGAGCTTGACTTCTTCCACAAAAGGCTTTAGGCTACTTTTCTTGTCAAATTATGAAGGGATAATGATTTTATACCACATAAAATATACCATACCTGTCCAGCAGGCAACATAAAATAAACTCTCTAAAGCCCCTTTTTAACCTCCTGGCTTACAAACTCATTTCAGCTGTAAATGTTCTACAAATACTCTACTTGCACAGGATGATTGTGGAAAGTGTAAAAGAAAGTTTGTTGTGACACATCCAAACAAACCCAGCTTTGAATGTCACCTTTGCTGTTTCTTTTTTGTTCTGAACCAACTTTCTGTTCAGTTCTTCCCACCTACAGCTGATCTGGAACTTGTTTGAAGCGAAAATAAGCAAGGACATTTTCACATCCATTGGGAGCATCTGCTCTGAAAAGCATCACTTTGTGTTTTGAAACTAAGCTGGTAAATAAATCTTTCATTTCTGGCCTCAGCATTGAAAGTTTCCAACTATTTGTGTATCAGCTCAATGGATATGAGCCTGGAGGCCAAACTAGAAATATTACTGATTGTCTACTGGTAGCCCTTAATCCATAGATAATACAACTAGTGCGTATGTCATGCAAAGAAATGAATGTACTACACATGGCATGTGTAGCTTCCAGGGAATATTGTTGTAGGGAACATATTACTTGTACATGAAACATCACAATAGTCTTTGGAAGGGTTTCGTAAAGACACTTATCCATCACCTTTGAGCCATTCACTAACTTATGTAGTGATTTCTCTAAGCTTTCCAATTTTTATAAGAAAGCTGGGATTCCTGACCTCTCTGCCCAAACCAAAGTCAGGATGTCACTATACGTGCATGGCTTTCTGGTAAAATGGTTCCCAGCTCTTATCAGCACAGCCCTCAAGACCAACTCTTTCACTATAACAACTTATTTCATAAGCTGAGTCACATTATTTTATACTGGCAACCATTTCTGGTCTGCACAAGGCTTCACTGGTCACATTCAAAGGTGCAAAGCAGCATTAGCAGTGGACCATTCCTCCTGCCTAGATCCCTTGAAGACACACAGCCATCCTAACAACTCCTTTTCAGGGTCACCAAAGCCAAGCATGCAGCTGGACTGCAGCAGGGGCTCACTCCTAGGTAGAAGAGCTAACATAAGTAGGATCTCCTGCAGAGCACACCCAGGCAGGAGGTCATTCTTATGTCAGTGTTCAGCTGGTTGATCACTTCCTTTTGTCAGAAATAAACAGATGAAGAAATTCAAAAGATAAATGTAGGCAGCTTTTAGGGAGGAGATTTGATAATCTGGTGTGGTCTGAGAACATCACTAAGCCCTTCCTATATTACGTTCATAATGAGAACAAATGAGTCTCTTACTTGCAGCTGGAAGAGGCGACTCCATCTTCTCTAGGTTCTCCTGTTCATTTTCTAGTCTCTGTTGGTAAAACCACAAGACCTGGTTATGAGTCAGGCAGCAAAGCTCACAACCCTACCTTACAGGCATAGGTTTGGGACGGAGGAAATAAAGCAGAAGTAGAGACAAGCAATGCTTTCTAGCTGCTAAATCACAGCTAGTGACAGCTACAAGAAGCATTCATAGAAATATGAAATGTCTCACTACAAATCTAGTTATGGTAAAAGAATAGTCGTGCTTGCAACTGGCCAGACTATCCCAGACCTGGAAATTGACAGCATGGTGAATCAGGAGACTTACGCATCACTTCTTCTATAGGGCAGAGAGCTGGATCATATGAAGAAATTGCAAACTTGTACAATGTTATTTAAGTGACAGTGACTGTAGCACCACTGCACATTGGTCTGCCTCTGCTTGCATGAAGAAAGAGGCTCTCAATTGGCTGCAGATCGTCTTTGAATCTCAGCAGAAATACAATTATTTAAAATACAGTGTTAATGCTTAAACATGCAAGAATAAAACAAAGAACAAAAGTGACCACTGCAGAGATTTTCCCTTACCTTTTCTAGGAGTTTGAGTCTCAGTCGTGTCAAGTGGTCCACCACTGAAGGATCTGCCATTGCAGTAGTCTCCTGGAAGAGCAGGCAGGCAAGAACAGGTTAAAAAGCTAAGCAAAGGCAGAGAGGTTTTCAATCCTCATTTCTTCCCCTCCATGATCTTCACAGAATAATTCCATTAGAAAAAAAAGAAACAAAATCAGATTGTGAGCAAATGAAGGAAGAAGAGAAAAGCTTTAGTTTCCCTCCCAGGTAAAAGTACAGATGATCATCACAGGATCACAGGCACAGCTTTTTCTGCCCTTTCTCTCAATGCATTTTTGTGCTGCAAATTGCAACATCACAGAAAGGTAACTAAGGGTGAATATTTGCTTGTCTTAACTGTCACTAAGCCCGGCCCTCTCTGTTGCTATTGTCCTCTAAGTAGCTCAGAGTATTGTGCCTGTAACCTGGCTGCTAAGTGTGTAGTGTCAATCCACAACATAAACAAGATAATCTCCAGGTGTAGAAGTTTACTTACCGTTTGTAAAGCAAATGCCCAGCACATTAGTGGGTAGGAAGAAAAGAAAGAAAAGCCAGTGGTTCTTCAACATAAAACCATTGATAGGCACCAGATTATGATCTTGCTGATTGATACACGATAACAACATTTATCTCACTGTAGAGGGACTTTTGACATAGTTCTTCATACAAGTTTTCATCCCCAGGTACTAACTAAAAACTTAAAAAATTAAGGAGCATAGCTGGAACCCATCCCTGGATGAGTAAAAGAGTAGAGAGGCTATGGTATAACATCCGTTTCCTTACCATCTCCCAAACGAACTGTAGGGTGTCTCCGTCTCCCAGCAAAGCCCTCCCAGCATAAGAAACAGCAACACTTTACAGTGACATCCATCAAAACAACATCAAAGCATGAGAAAGAAGTCAAGTAACAGTCATTCATTCTCAGTATCATATTTTAAGCCTGGAGAGCAAAGTTATAACTTCCTCCTTATTTGAAGGCCACAGCAAAACTGCAGCTAAGCAACTTGCTGGTGGCTGGAGCAACTGATAGATGCTGTAGGATCACCTCCTCCAGCTGTGACCCACACAGCATGTGTGTACAATCTGCCCTTGAAAATACACAGGCTGGTATCTCTGGATAGGTCATCGAAACCGAGACATGGGGATCCCAAAAATAGCTGTGCTATGTCAGAGCTGGGGCTCAGCTTGCTTTGGCAGAGCATGGTTGCAAATGCTCTAAGGGATAAGGCAGAGCAGAAGACCCTCTCACGTGCCAGCAGTTGTCCTGAGAAACCACTCTGTGTACACTTTTGTGCTTCAAAAGCCTCATAGATTTTCCTTCTTTTCTCTCCAATATCTTTGATCCCTCATTCTTTGGGCAACAAGAAGTTTCCCATTTATCTTAAACTTAAGCATAAAAGTGGTTATAGAAGTAAACTGTGTAAGTATTATTTATTGAAGTGTTAGGCCAAAAAAGGATTACATTTAGATTGTTTTAATCCTAGATCCCTGAAAAGTTTATTGGAAAGCTTCTCATTTTTTATGTGAAATTTATACAAGTGCTCTCCGGGCATTTTTCCACATCCCTTGCGACTTGGAATCATAGAATCATTTAGGTACCATGTCCCCATTCAGATGCCTCTTTTCTAAGCAAAATAATCAGTTTATTTTGTCCTCAAATAGCAGATTTCCTTTACCTATTGATCTCATAACTCAGCTGGGAAGGTATAATGCAAGAGCCCACACAGACTACTCCCATACCCACCTATTGGCCTCTGCTATCAGTGACTATCAGAAGGTGCTGCTTCAGCTACACCTATGACCATACCTTGGCTATACTGTCTCCACAGTCTCATATTTATTCTAGTTGCTTCTCTCTTTACCTTCCTAACTCATAAACCCTTTTGTGAAGGGGAGAGCAGGGTTGTGGGCAGCATTTGGGCAGTGAGGTAGCAAAGGAAGCTATGTTGGTGTCTCCAGATGACCACAACAGGTACAAGTTTGCTGACCCTTTAAATAGACTTTTAGACTGCTGTTGAATATTGAGCTGATGTTTTACCATCAACTGCTGTCATACAGTGTTCCCAAGAATTTAAATTTCTAGAGCCTTCCTTGCAATACAAATAGAGGGTTACAAGAAAGGTTGACAAAGAGAAACAAGTATTCAATTAAAAATACAGTGCCAGTGTTAAGCAACTGAGCCGACTAAAAGGAGGAGAAAAAAACTTCTGCTTCATTTAACAATCCAATACTAGATAAAAATCACACTTTCCAGCACATCTGCTAAAGAACCTAGCTTTTCCCGCACTTACGGATGGCCTTGCCACAATGGAATCGCTACTGTAGGGACACCTTACAAACTGCTAATGTATGACTTGTCAGGAATGTGTCAAATGGTACAAGAGGATCTTACAGAATCCCAGACTGGTTTGCATTGGAAGGGACCTTAAAGCTCATCCGGTTCCAACCCCCTGCCATGGGCAGGGACACGTTCCGCTAGAGCAGGGTGCTCCAAGCCCTGTCCAACCTGGTCTTGAACACTGGCAGGGATGGGGCAGCCACAGCTTCTCTGGGCACCCTGTGCCAGCGCCTCAGCACCCTCATGTGTTGCAATAATGCGCTATGTACATCTGAAGCTAAGCATGTGAATAAAACATTACAATTAAGAGTTATTTCATGCTCTGTCATGCAACTGTGCAAGTAAGTCTCCTTATTTACCTTAATTATGATTAAGTGCACAACACTAATCATATATGATATGTACATGATACTTCACTACATTATTACTGTCTTCTTATATGACCATGGCAAACCACTAGTCTGCAAGCACTGCCCGTTTATTTGCAGATAGATTGCAGCAGCTCCCAGAGTTCTGTTATGGTTTTGTTGCCAGCCTGATCTTAGGTCCCTTTTCACATACTTCTACTTGAGTCAATTCAATTAGACTAGCACTCGAAATCCCGACATTTTAATAGACAGGGATATAAGAAGATACAATGCATGTATTGCTTATTAAAACCTCAAACAACAATAAACCAAAACCCAAACAAACATGGCTTATTAATTTCACCTTTTTTAGCTGGAGCAAGAAGTCAAGCAGTATTATTTTAAACCATTTATTTTTCTCCAAGTGACATATTTGATTGGACAAAATTGCCATTATAAATGCCACATTGTCTTTTTTAAGGAACTTCTTTGCTCCGAGCTTACTTGTTTCCTTTTGCTTCTCAGATGGTACCAATTACACAAGCTTTTGTACTAAGGAACTTCATAACTCAGACTTAGTCTCCTAGCACTGGCTGGGAGTAAACTCAGCATCCTGGCTGTGGTGTTGGAGGGCATGGCAGCACTACCGGGAAAAACACATAAACCAGCACTGACAAAGGAAGAGATGACCAGGATTAGTCTCAGGAGAACGTCCACCCTAGTCACATTTAATGACCCTGAATGGTTTAGCCACTGAAACTTTCATTCTTAGAAGAACAAAATTGGTCGTGAAGGAAAGTCAACACATACGCCCCCATGCAATCTTTGCAGTGGTTTAAAACTTAACCTTTACCTTAGCTCTGGATGCAGACAGGGGTGCCAGCCCTGCCTTGCCCCTAGTGTCCTCACCTTTCTCTTTGGAGCATTGAGCACACACTGCTCCAGTTTTTTTGTTGTCTATGCTGAAATATTTACCTATTTATATGTGGGAGGCCAGGAGATGGATACAGAATAGTTTATTCTGAGAATGAGAACATGTTTCTTCCTACAATGTTTTTGGATGGTGGATGATATAGGCATAGGCAACCCAGATGGCACAGATGCGGTTCACAGGAGCAGAGAGCTCCAGCTCATGGCCTGGATGACGCAGTATCTGAATTCAGGGCAAAAACCTACACAGAGAAGAGCCCAACCTAATGGCTAAATCCATAGAAAGGTCCAGGGATAGAAAAGGAGTTAATACATCATGAAGATGTTTGCATTTCAGTATTCTGTGGAAAGAATAAGCTAGATAGCAAGAGAGCATCTCCGAACTGTCAAGTGACAAACTGGATTAAAGCATGTGTTTTTCAGTAGGATTTAATGACTCCAAGACACAAAGAAACCACCACTTGTGTTAAGTGGTTAATTATACTATGTTAAGAGTATAAGATACATAATATATAATTAACCTGTTAGGGTTAATTATTCTCAGTATTAAGACAGGAACACCTTACTTCTCCCTTATTACCTGACAGTTACTTCCGGCCGTTCACTCTCCCTGCACTAGTTCTTCCTTGATGAAGGGATTTGACAGGTGAACTTACAGCCGCAGTAAAAATAAAGCAGGGAGATGCTAAAACCCAGTTGCAGAACACACACAGGGGGACAGACCGGGTGTGCTGCAAAGAGTAATAGCCCTAAGACTAAGATGGACCGTTAATCCCGCAACAACACGTCTCTGCCTCCAACAAGGCGAAGGACTAGGCCGTCAACGCCGGGACCCGCCGCTCACAGCAGCGGCAGAGCAGACAAACGGAACTGTACCTCAGCCGTCCCGGAACCCGCCCAAACAGCCTCTGAGCGTTGCTCGGCAACACCCGCGTGAGCTTTCCCGCGGCAACCGCCCCTTCTCCCCATTGGCTGCCTCCCGTCCCTGGGCGGGGCCGTGGCTGGCGGCACGTTTGAAACTGTCCACTCAGCGCAGGGGGAGCTGCTGACTGCCCCTTTTCTATTGGTGGCTGCTGAGGGGGCGGGAACAAGCGGCTGCAGCGGGAGCGGCGGCGGAGGGCGCGCTGTCCATCCCGGGAACCAAGCAGGGTGGGCTGGGCTAGCCTAACGGCTGTTCTCGGTATTGGCTGGAGGGCTTCGCCAATTCCCTCACAGCTTCCTCCCTGCTCCGGGAGCGTAGGCCAGCCCCTGCACTCTGATTGGCCACTGAGGGTGAGAGCCGCCTCTCGGTTGGCTCAGGCGCCCAGATGGGCGGGGACAAGGCTCTGGGGCGGCCATGACCGAAACTTGTGTGTCCGCTCCGGTGTGATAGGGGGTTTGTGAGGAGCGTGGGTGGGTTCGGCTTCGCCGCAGCGTGACCCGCTCGCCTGCCCCATGGAAGCGGAGGAGGAGGCGTGGAGACGGAAGCTGGAAGCTGGCAGGGCCAAGGTGAGAATGGAGGGGGGGTCCCTGTCATGTGGGGTCCGCGCAGGTCCCGGCCTGGCTCCCAGCGCCCTCCGGTGCCCTCGACAGGGGTGTTCTAAAGCTGCCCCCTGCATCGCCTCTGCCTGCCCCGGGTACAGACAGTCTATAAGCATTAGCTTTAGTGAGCAAGGAGCTGCTTAAAGTAGTTCTTATGTCTTCCCCCTGTTTCTGCCTGTTGGGTTATTTTTGGGGGAGTTGTTTGGTTGTGGTTCAGGTTGGTTGGATTTTATCATAATTATTTTTATATTATAATTATTTAATATTATAGTATATATATTATATATATTATAATTGTTTAATATTTATTATATTATTATTTCTCCTATTTTTATCTAGGATTCCACTCAGTTACTTGTGGAAATACTATATTTCCAGGTGATACTCTCACCCAGAATTAGG